AGAATTCATTTAACATTAAATGAACTAGACAAGCACATCTCTAGTTACCGCTATTCAGTAATTCGCCAATGGTTTTCTTCAATTTCTTCAATGCTAAGTACAAACTGAGTTTTCTGTATTGAATAGTTGATGTCACAGTCAGACAATGACTAACAGTGTTACGCCTTGTGTACCAGTGGTCACTACTACGAAACCTAGATTAAGAAAAATTTCCTGCCGACAACCTCTAATTGCTAGACATCAGAAGATAGTGGACACTATGTCTAACCTCTTAGATTATTGTCTACGTTTTAACTTTATGGATCGGACTTAATCACTACAAAAGGACTAGAATGTTATAATATTGACTACTTACTACTCAACGATCAATCATTTTGGATATGTCGACTATTTAATTTCGACTTGATGACGAACTAAATGGTAAAGTGACAATAAAGAAATAAAAACGAGCGAATTAAAGCCTACGACAAATCTACACCAATGCAAATTGCCATAACGAATCAACTCAGTGAGACAAAATTAACAAGATGGATAAACAAAAGTAGTTCGAATAACTACATAATTGCCCTGGTAGCGAGAAAGAATAAATATAGAGTGATTGCAGTCCTAAGACGGAGAATGAATTGAATGGGTGATAAAGCGAGTAATAATACTGACGCGAAAGATAAAGAGTTGATGAATCTACATCATTATGATCCATTTTCAGTCAACCCACTCAATGTCTTTAACCACTGATCCGGATTATCACACAGATCCCACGCGCCAACAAATGCAGGTCAAAACAACCACTGTAATGGAAGCCTCTAAAGCAGTAGGTTTCAACATACACAAGGGGAAAAGCAAGATCCTCAAATACGACACGGAGAACATCAGTCAAATAACACTTGATGGAGAAGCTCTGGAGGAGTTGGTAACTTCCATGTGACTGGACAGCATCATCGATGAACGAAGAGGATCCAATGTTGGCGTAAAGGCAACGACTAGCAAAGTAAGAACAGCATTCCTACAGTCGAAGAACATATGGAACACAAAAAAAAGCTGTCAACCAACGTCAAAATTAGAACACCACGACACTTCCACTGTAAGGAGCTGAAACCTGCAAAACGACTGTAACGATCATAAAAAATACAGGTATTTTATAAGACATTCAATGTCCGTTGACCGGATGCTATCAGGAACAGCGTACTGTGGAAGAAAATAAACCAACTTCCAACTGAAGAGGAAACTAAGAAAACAGGATGAAAGTAGATGGGACATATATTGTGGAAATCATCAAACGACATCAAGAGCTAACTTGGAATGCTGAAGGGAAATGAAAAAGATGAACACCAAGGAACATATTACGTCGGGAATTGGAAGCAGATTTCAAAGAGATGAATAGCAACTGGCAAGAAATAGAAAGTATTGTCCAGAATAGAGTTTGATGGAGAATGCTGGTGGACGGCCTATGCTCCTCCACGAGGGGTAATAGGCGTAAGTAAGTAAGTAAGTTCAATCTTACATTTTTATATATAGGGATTAAACTGGTTCAGTTATAAACTCAATATTGATAAATAGTACATTTTATTGATAATTCTGGGAACAGAATAGAATATATATAACGTTTATTTACAAGTCAGATGGTAGTGGATATCCGTAACATTTCTAACTGATAAACTCCCATCATTGATACAATTACGATGCAGTATATTGGACTAAACCTCATGATTTTCAAGAAATTCACGATAATCATTGTACGTTTTCAGCTCTAATCAATTTGTATTATTAACACAATTTTCAGTGAATTATTCTGTTAATTTAGATACTAGTTAACATTATTACAATATACTCAGTTTTTAATCTATAATAGGTCACAACTTCGAACACTAATTCCCTTCCTCCATATTCCACTATTCTCAATTCGGATCACTGAGCAGTGTGTTAACAGTGGTCCTCATAACACTATGTATGTGATGATGGTTAACACCGACAATAATATATTTCGATAAAATATCACTGTTGAGCATACGTTTTATCGAGTTCTTTAAGTATATGGAAGGGGAAGGTAAATATCATAAAAATCAATTCTTCTTCAATATCATTTATAACACCCTCTTCATCTTGAGTTTCCTAACTGAATTAATTAATTTAAAATAATTTTCTCCATAAATCGATCCTTTGAATACGACAGAAATGAATGTTGAAATCAGTATTAGTACGTCTAGAAAATGATCTGTTCTAAAAACAACCTGGGTATAAAATATGACAGTTGACTGGAATATTAAATTTGAACGTCGAAAGTGGTGGATGAACATATGAATGTAAACTTTAATACCTAAAAGGAGAGCGGAGTTTTACGTGGGTTATGCCGAGACATGATCAGATTATTTGACCAAACGCCTTCAGCTAATAATCTCTGATAAGAATAAGAAAGTTAGCATAGTTACTGAATATCTATAAAGTTATCTTATTTTCTGAGGAGTTATTTACCTGCGAAATTTCAATATTTTTATAAATCGTTTCTTAATAAGTTAACTGTTTCGATTAATCATGTTCGGTAAAGTTGGCCAACTGGATATTGATGATAAGATAACTATCTATTCATGATAATATTAGATCACGATATATTAAAAAATCACCGGGACAGAAAATATGTATTAACATTTTCCAGTCGTATATGAAGTTACTCATGGATATCACTAAAAAAAATACTTAATTGACAACTTAATTTGTTGTGAAGACCTTAATTGACAAGTAAAAATAATACATTAGATTGTTGGCTTATTCAGTTTTAGGTAGTACTGGTTTAATGGTGTTAAGCGAGTTCAATTTGAAGTAATCTCACAAGTTCAAAGGTGCCCTCAGTTTCACCTACTTGACATTGAGTTAACAGGTATAAGTACTATTATCATTAGTAGTAGCAATATTTTTGACTAGTTGATCAAGAAGTTACCTGTTACCGTGAAAAAACTACTTATTTGAACACTGAGACTAAAATTAGTCAATTATGTATATTCAGAACGTGGATTTGTGGAGATTGTGGCAATTTAAATAGTTGAATTCATGAGTCCGTTTCAGCTAGGACACCATTGGAAACCTGGAAGCACTGGACGGCCGTCTCGTCCTAGTATAGGACTCCTTAGCAGTGCACATCCACGACCCAGCGGCCCGCGAGATTCAAACCCAGGACCTAACAATCTCGCGCTCGAGCGCTTAACCATTAGACCACTGAGCCGGCATCCAACAGTGTTAATGTCTAACTTCAACCAATCCACAAAATTACGCCATGACACATTATTTCAACCATTGAAAATAAATATACCTAATGATCAAAAACCCTTGTAGGTGCAAGTACAATTAAATCGAAGATTTCAAGTTTAATGAATTCTTCTCTAAAATGTTTTAAATAACATTAATATCAGATGGGTTTTGTGGATATTATAGTAATTTCAATGGTTAAGATCATGAGTCAGTTGAAGTGACTGGCTTCAAGAGGTAAATCCTGGAGTTCTAGTGAGTAGTATTAACCAGTGGAGTTCAACCAGGTCTTTTGTGAGATAGCAATTCACTGAAGACAATAGTGGATATGTCGCTCAATTTCGTGGATTAGTTGAAGTTAGGCATTAACACCGTTGGATGCCAGCCGGCTCAGTGGTCTAGTGGTTAAGTGCTCGTGTGCGAAACCAGTAGGTCCTGGGTTCGGATCTCGCAGGGGGCAAGGTCGTGCATGCGCACTGTTGAGGAGTCCCACAATAGGTCGAAACGACAGTCCAGTACTTCCAGGTTTTCCATAGTGGTCTAGCTTCAACTGACTCATGATCTTAACCATTGAAATTAAATAACATTCCCTAATTTATATTAGAAAAAATATTGAAAATTATCTTAATCCTAATTGGTCAACATATCTCATTTATCTTATCATAGAAATGATTTATTTCCACCAATCAAAATAAAGTCCATTTGTCTATGTCATCTGAATTAACTAACCATCATAATAATAAATATAGTCATCTTTTTTTCAATAATGATGGTCTAACTTCAATTGACTCATGATCTCAACCATTGAAATGACTATAATATCCACAAAAACCCCTTCTGATACTTTATATATTTCTATTTATTCATCAATTCATAATCGATGTTAAATGTTGACATCTGAAATTTTTTTTAGTCTTAAATCATGAATTTGAGGAATTTTTATTCATGAAAATAACAAATAAATGAAATTATCCTTGATACTTAAAAAAAAAGAATAGAAGGGGGGTGCGCCTGTCATCACTTGAAGAATGTTGAAAATATAGTTACTGACTAATTAGTGAGTAGTAAATAGTGCTATACTTATCTAATCTATAATACTGATCAAATTGTAATATCATTGCTAGTCTAAATGATTTGACATCCTGTGCACTATATTTAAATGTTAAGCGGTAGAAGACAGTAAGTTAAACTGGGAAAAATAATGTTTTGTATTCGCTGGTGATGGTCATTATTTTGTAAGAGTCTAATGTTCCCTGTGTAAGATTCAATCTTGTAATATCGAATGATGTAATCACCTAGATTCATCATGTTTGGGGAGGCTGATATATTTATGGACAAAATTCAAACAACCTTGAGGACTAGACAAATACCATACTGATTATTCGAAAATATTACAGCTGTGAAGGCGATCACTTGAAACCTTAATATCAAAGAGTCGAACTGGGACACTGGGCAATACGGATTCGAATCCCACAAGGAATGTCGGTCGCCTTTAAGATTGTATATATGCTATTGCAACAAATAGCAACCAGTAAAAAACACGTCGATCCTAAGCTCCTCCCTAGTTATAATCAATTTTCCAACTGAAAACGTAATGAAATTATATATTTTAACAATTGTATAAATAGTGGTAATGCTATAAATGAGGCTGAGTGATTCGGGAATACTTCACACTATAAACTATTATTGTTCAAATAACGAGTGAATATATCAACAACGTTGTATTAATGATTAACCTTTCAACAACTAATATATTTCTATGAATGTTCTTCAAAGTTGATAAGTTAGTATAGTGATGAGAATTGGCGAATCGATCATTTATTTATTTAAAGAGTTGGTAAGCAACGAATTTTCAAAAGCAAATTTGTATATAATTCATTTTGTCAAGTGTAAACCTCTAGGCTCAAAGAATTGACTTATATCGCACGTATAAGGACTAGTGATGTCACTACTACTACTACTACTACTACTACTACTACTACTACTACTACTACTACTACTACTACTACTACTACTACTACTACTACTACTACTACTACTACTACTACTACTACTACTAGTACTACTACTACTACTACTACTACTACTACTACTACTAGTACTACTACTACTACTACTACTACTACTACTACTACTACTACTACTACTACTACTACTACTACTACTACTACTACTACTACTACTACTACTACTACTACTACTACTACTACTACTACTACTACTACTACTACTACTACTACTACTACTACTACTACTACTACTACTACTACCATTACTACTACTGATGAGATTTTTCCCTAAGAATTCCTCTGATAAGTGAGAAAACCGTTCAGTATAACATGATTAACAAATTATTAAGTAGTTTTAACCGAATAACCATATGTTATGAACTCACAGTTGTTAATTTTTCCATTAATAAGACGACCGCATACTAGTTTTTTTGTTGACCGAAACTGAGTAATCTTAAAAGATATTACAAAATCATATGTAGTTTAATCCAACGTTCACTTAAGCAGCTTATAATCTAACAGAGACAGGTCAAGACAGACCACTTTTCAATACTGAAAACGGGTAAACATATACTTTTACAAATAATCATAAATATTTTCATTATTCAGATTACGAATTGATCTTAGCTAGACCACTATTAGAAGCCTGGAAGCACTGGGTTTCCGTTTTATCCTAGTATGAGATTACTCAGTAGTGTTCACCCATGACTCCGAACGCAGGAGTGGAATCCGTGAGCTTCGATTGCACGGGTGAACTCTTAACCTCCAGACCATCAAGCCAGCTTCCGACAATCTATTTCTCCAATTTTAATTAATCCACGATAATATATAACCCTCGTCTTTTGCTCAAAACGGATAACATTCTCACACCCGACATGGTTAAACTCCATCAGTCATAGCTTCTAATTGTAACTCAAGAAATCGCATTCTGAAGCTAGTCACTATTGAGTGCGTGACTCTTTGTACAGATTTTTACATAGATAATGATTTTTTGAATAGAATTAAAAATAAGGAGCTGTTCATTGTACATTGATGAACAATCAGTGAGATTTTAACTTAATTTCTTTTACTTTGAATTCCATCAATAACCTTTAACTCTAAACAATATTATTCATAGTTGAGAAAACCCAAAAATGTCCTGTACAAGAAAAAAGATTGATCACTTCTATCAGCTACTACCGAATGTAGACCACCATGGAAAACCTGGAAGCACTGAAATCTCGCGGGGTAAGGGATTGTGGATGCGCACTACTAAGGAGTCCCATACTAGGACGAAACGGCCGTCCAGTGCTTCCAGGTTTTCCATAGTTGTCTAGCTTCAATTGACTCATGATTTCAATTTGTGAAATGTCTAAAATCTCTACAAACCCCTTCTGATACTACTGCATGATTTATGTATGTTGGTTGAAAAGTAAATATCTGAGTGGATTGCATTGGATTGTAACAATGTATGATCCCGGTAGAAAATCCGACACTATATTTAAGAAAAAAAAAGCCAGTTGGCTGATCATACTGGATTAACTATTCTGAATTCCTAAATGTCTTCAACAATATGATATTTCAGTTACATCAAACGAACAGTTCCACTTATCTCAGAAATAGAAAATGGTAACTATTCTATGTATGATGTCGTAATTTCTTTTTGTTGCTTTTCTATTTACAATTATTCAAATGATTTAGATTTAACATTACACTTCAACTTGTATAATTAACTTTTACATTTTAGTTGCTGGGTCAAAATGAATGATAATAATGATAGTAATAGTAATGGTAATAGTAGTATGCCTTTTTCTTAATACAAATGAAATATACTCAACTGAATGTAAATTATTATTATTTTGATGATTATTATTATTAATATTGAAGTAATTAAAATGCATAGTTCAATATTTAATTAAAATTTAAAATATGCATAATTTTTTTGAAGTCATAGCAGTGTATGATTATTATTAAGTTACATGTTTATATATATCAAGCACAATGCATGTGTACATGTATCTATGCTGCGTTATACCTCATGTGTACTTGTTTGTATGCACATTTATATCTAAATTTGTATCCATAGTTTTTGGTGCGGATATATGCAAAACATCTTACTATTCAATACCATTATTCTATTGGTATTATTATTATTATTATTAAAGTGAATAGCACGTGTATTTATACATAAGTGTATATGTATTTTTATGTACACAAACTGATTATATAATTTTCATATTCAAATTTTGCACTATATGTAAGCTTCTTTACTTAGATCAATTTCTCCCTTTCTATTACTATCACTAAAATGATTATTATCAACATAAGTACAGAAGAGTATATTTGAAAGAGATAGAAATACTCACACATTTATAAACATCATGTGTTAACTAATCTTAGTGTGTACACACAATGACTTAGTAACAAGTAAATAATAATAATGTATATTCTTATTGTCGATACTTGAAGCCTTAATTCTTACCATATATATAGATGTATATACATACATTTCAATATTTCATAATCATATGTACATACAATGAAACATGACTTTTTGTTAAACTATGTTGACTGATATTATTATTGTTATTATTTGAATAATAAAGAAAAAAGGTTGTATTTTAAAAGAAAGAAAAAAAGATCGTTGAATGTTCAATATTGTAAATCTTTTCTTTATATATTTATTTACTTACATTACATTGAATATGTATACATAAGGTGATAAGTATGCGTAATGTAAAGGCCCAAAGTAATACACTCACACAAATAAGACTATAATACTCAAGCAAACATATCCGCAAACATATTTAGCATAGATACACACACATACATACATACAATCATAGAAAGTATAATTATCCATGGACAAAGTATTATCTATCACGTGTATGCATAAATTCTTTTTTTTCTTCTAAATCATTCAACTGGTATTATTGTGATAGGTTTCTTTTTAAAAAGCAATGATAATATTCATATGACAAAATACGATTTCATTGAGGATCAGGTAATGACTGTATGAGTAGTTAGTTGCATTTTTTTTCTTTCTTAAAAAACAAATAAAACACCAATACATGTTTATAATTGAAGATAAAGAGGAAGAGAGAATAGGGTGGAATGATTGTTCTATTTCTGAATGAAAAAAGAAATTATTTAAAATTGAAACATTTATTCATTAGTACAATGAATGATGATCGTACGGTTTCGTGGATTGGTTGAGGTTAAACATTAACACCGTTAGATGCCGGCCGGCTCAGTGGTCCAATAAGTTAAGCGTTCTCGGGCGAGACTGAAGGTCCTGGGCTTGAGTACCGCGAAGCAGGATCGTGGATGCGCATTGTTGAGGAGTCCCACAGTGGGACGAAACGGGCATCCAGTGGTTCCATGTTTTCAATGGTGGTCTAAAATCAATCAGTTCATGATCTCAATCAAGAAATTAAAAACAACCGAAATGAATTTTCAGTTAGTTTCTGTAGCCAGTCAGAAAATAGCTTTTATAGATGGATTTGTTTAAGGAAAAGAAAACAATAATATTACAAACAGTAGGGGGGGTCATAGACCTTTTGGCTTCCAAAGAATCTCGGCTTTCACTATGAAGTGTCATAATTCTTCTAAATGGAGAGTCTTCAACTCGCATGGTGGAGTTTAAATCGTTTAATTTAATTATTCTGGTTAACATTTTTTTAGCAAAGTTGTTTTCTGTGGGATGGGATAGCTGAACCCATGGCCAACCCTCCTCCTTTTACCTTGGCTTGGGACCAGCAGTAACCCTGAAGAGCTACAGTTGAGGTTATTATAAAAGGTCTATTTATTTTTTCGATTCTACAGGTTATTCTACTTGTAATTGAAAAAAAACCCAATGAAATGAACTCGTCCTAACAGAAACATTTTGTCTATATTCTCAAACTCTTTAAAGCATTCAAATAGATTTTTCAGCTTCTACATTGTTCCTAGCTATGATTGAGTATTTAGAGGTAAGATTAAGGATTTAAGACTAAAATTTTCATTACCAACTGCTATCATGTGAAAATGTTCTGTAACCATAAGGATAAATGAATTTTGTACAAAAATCCAAAAGTTGCTATCTGATTATTTTGTTCATAAAATATAGTGTTACCAGGTTAGGGTTTATTTCAGAATTAATGACGTTATAGTGTCAATTTACCTGTTATATACAATCTAAAGAGATAAAATTGAGTATTTAATACGTCTAACACCATAATTCTCACTTTACATTTTGAAGAAATTTTTCCCTATCATTTTAAACGTTTTAAGCAGTATACAAGGGTATTTCTACTGTTTGTTATACTATAACACGTTTTAAACCTCACACTGTCAACTTCTTGTTCCGATTATCAGATTGTCTTAATCTCACTCTCGTGTTATTTCTGGTTGTTGTCGATTGCTTTCGTTATTAAATGTAAGTAAATTCTATATGTTTAGTGAGTTGTCGGCTCACTTTTTCGCTTGTTCTTTTCTTTTCCATATAATCCCATTCACTGATCATAACAATCCCCCAGCAAAAAAGGTACCTTCAGATTAGACGTAAGCCTACCAAAGGCTGAACGTTACAGTAAATGATTGATGAAATTCGCGCAAAAATTGCAAAGTCGTGTTCTCGATCCTGACTGGCTCGTTCCTAAAATATATTTTTATCAGTGGATTATTTATCAATGAGAATGATTGAAGGTTCTGAATAGAATTAATGGTTGGATGAAGTAAGTCTCATAGGTTTGTTAAAAGTACGAATAGTGATTACGAGTTAAACTAGTAATATTGTTAGAAATGAGTCAACGGTGAGGTTAAAATGATCTTGTGAATTTGAACTTTTTATCCAGTCAATCAACAGAGAGTCTGGTAGAGATCACAATTATTTCGTAATGAGAATAGGGAATTCTATTCGAGTTAAATGTTTTTGCAAAGATCATTCAAGGTCTATAAGCAGTTTTTTAGCTTAAAGATTTTAAGAATATAGTTGTATATACTTATTTATCTGAATGTTAAATGATTCACATTAAATGCATTCTTACAGCTATGAAAAATTAGTTGTATAGAAAATACATTAGTTCTTATGAAATATTCACCAATAAATTCACTGAAGAGTTAGACAGATAAACGTATCAGACAACGGTATGGGAGTATTTCATTTTATCGGAATTGTAATTTATCTTAGCACTGTTATTTCATACTTAATTAAATTTTTTACCTCTCTTGGAGGACAGCCCGCAGACCAGGAATCTCCAATAGGTTCTATCTTGGGCTTTTTTTCAGATGTTGACAATTGCTATCGATTCTCTGGATCTCACTCATTGTACG